TTTCAGATTTATTGTTTTTCAGATATTGATAATACCCGACATTTTTACTGAGAAGAAGCCATGCAGCTCCTGTGTGTTAAGTAAAAACGTGGCAATCGCTCTCAGCACTGGACTCCTTCTTCCTCTCATTTCAACACCGTATCTTTGCCATTACATCGTATGTTTTTTCCACATCATTCCATGACATTACTTTGAATAGCGACTTCAATTGGGAATGGCGTGAATCGCATGTAGTGCGTTCCTTACCGAAGTCATATTTCATTTATTACCCATCTGCTTTCGATATTTATCACGTTTTCCAATATATTGGGATTACCCAGACATCATATAGTCGAAATCATTTCGCACTAGGGCGCTGGAGCTGTGGTTTCTGATGGAGGGGAGGTTTGGTTCCCCTTTCATTTGCACAGACCTCGAAAAAAGCTGCTCGTATAGTGCAACGTTTTGGAATTTATCGAGAAGGCGGCCATAGTTCCACTTTCACATCGTTTTTGGTTGGTAAACCGACACGGTTAGTTGCTGACAACTCGATGGTAATGACTGCTCTTCTTTCCTGTAACGACGATCATGGTCGCCTATTATACCGGTTCGCAGGTGGGAATCCACTATGGTTTGGACGCCAACCTCAAAGGCAGTAGGATGTTTCGTTTTTTTTTGCTTTGCGAAGGTGTAGAATATTGAATCGATTTGGAGTGCTTCGCTATTTCACCTTAAGCTTTATGCGAGGATAGAAAGCTTAACGGATGAATCTGGTCATCATTTTTCAGTCATAATTCAAATTATATTTAGAAACATTCTGTAATTCTTGAAGCCTTTGAATTTCTATTTTTACGCTGATCCATTGTCAACAGCATAGCACAACAATGGGTCACGTTTTCACATAGAATAGTCACGTTTTTCTTAACACATTGACGACATCGCGCGTTTTGGGTTTTTGCACCGCGTGGGACAAGGGCGCTTTTGCGAGCGCGGCCGTCACACCTCACACCCGTAAATTTCGAACGATAACCTTGGGAAGCTTCAAAGGTACGAAACCATTTCAGCAATATTCAATGCGTAGAAAGTAATCGAAGATATAGTAGCGAAATTCCGATCAAAAAACGTGAAATGGTAAAGAAAATTGAATTTAAGTCCTTTTCTCTGTAGTGGATGCCAAAACTATTTTCGATGTGGATGTGTCAAGTGAAACATATATCTTTCTATCCCTTTAAGTTTGTATTTACTTTCACTACCTTTTCTCACTGACATGTTCATGAAAGAAACGAGGGATGAACCGAGCTGCCAATTCGCTGTGCTTGAAAAACTTCTGCTAAACTGGAAGCATATTTGATCATACCGTGACCCATGTCGTTTACTATGTTGTATGTAATCCATAGAATAGAGGCAAGCAAATTGGGAAGAATCCCCGCATACGCTAGAAAAAGGGATGACAAGGGTGAGACGCGCAACCGCGTCTCAATGTCCAACGAGGTGCGCAAAGTGAGACGCGTTACCGCGTCTCAATGTCGTCAATGTGTTAATATTCTTGCCCCAAAACTGTCCATTTACATATTCTTGCCCCAAAACTGTCCATTTACATTTTCGGATCTGGAAAGGTGTATGACTTACCGCTGTGAAATGATTATATGCTGCAAACGGAAGGAAAGTAAAAAAAGAGAGATGAGTGCACAGCGGCGGTCATTAGTGCCTTAATTTTTTGATAGCGCATTTTCCTATGGCGCTCGCTCTAACACTATTCCAATTTTCGGCTTTCGGCTTTGGTCGCATGTTGTCACAATGAACTTGTTACAGAATATTCAACGACAACAAAGTAAAAAGTTACCTGCAGTTTCCAATTACATTGATTTCCTCGTACTTAGTTGGGAAGGTAATTGTTTGTTGAATTTTTGCTCATTTATCAACTTGGATCTAATTAGCCTTAAAATTATTTGTTATCCAAGCGAAATATTTGTAGGCGGTCGGGCCGCTAGATCGGTTCTCATGAAGCTTATTCCGTTCCAAGTGCTGGTTGCCGCTATTTCAACATATTCAGTTTTGTGGGGTCGAGAAAGGTAAATGCTTAAAGTTCTTATCTAGCTTTTTTTCTGCAATGCCATAATTCTTTTTTCTATCGATTATTTTGGCTTCAATCCGATCGGTTTGGTCTTCGAAAAAATAATTATATGAGAATTGTAAAGCGGACCGTTTCCAGGATATTCGATACGCTAGACGCGGACCCCGATTTCGCCAAAGAGCTGCTCGTGGAAGTGCAGCTGAAACCTACCCTGAAACAGCGAATATCGAATTTCCTCCAAGGCGTCCCTTACTACAATGAGATCACCGGTGATCCAAAACCAGAGCATGAGCGAGTGCGGGTTCATTAATAGTCCAAGAATGCATAGAATCAGATTTAAGTTGTTTTTGTTATTTTTTTATTTTGACATAGTCTGCCAATGAATTGGTTATTTTTTTATTTTGACATACACGGAACACGCACTACACCGGCACTGTGTTCCCACTCGAAAAACGTCTAGCACCATCGATCCCGCAATCGCCGTCAGTATTGGTGCAGTTCATAGCCGTTTTGTGCGGAAATGTAAACTGAAGGGGCACGACGTCGCGCGGTGAACTCTAACACTCTTTCCGTACCGTTGCGTCCACTTTAGGCTGGTGTCAGACTTTGCGAATCCAACGATTCGCCAGTGATGTAGCGAGCGATGTACCAGCGACTC